TTCCGGACTCCAATACCCTTCATCCAATATACCGATCTTCACCTCCGGACCATTCCGGAGTTCCTCGTCACGTCCGGGATCTCATCCGGGACTCCGAACAACCTTCGGTAACCACATACTATTTCCCATAACAACTCTAGCGTCACCGAACCTTAAGTGTGTAGACCCTACGGGTTCGGGAACCATGTAGACATGACCGAGACATTCTCCGGCCAATAACCAACAGCGGGATCTGGATACCCATGTTGGCTCCCACATGTTCCACGATGATCTCATCGGATGAACCACGATGTCAAGGATTCAATCAATCCCTTATACAATCCCCTTTGTCAATCGGTATGTTACTTGCCCGAGATTCGATCGTCGGTATCCCAATACCTCATTCAATCTCATTACCGGCAAGTCACTTTACTCGTTCCGTAATGCATGATCCCATGACTAACTACTTAGTCACATTGAGCTCATTATGATGATGCATTACCGAGTGGGCCCAGAGATACCTCTCCGTCATACGGAGTGACAAATCCCAATCTCGATTCGTGTCAACCCAACAGACACTTTCGGATATACCTGTAGTGCACCTTTATAGCCACCCAGTTACGTTGTGACGTTTGGTACACCCAAAGCACTCCTACGGTATCCGGGAGTTGCACAATCTCATGGTCTAAGGAAATGATACTTGACATTAGAAAAGCCTTTAGCAAACGAACTATACGATCTTGTGCTATGCTTAGGATTGGGTGTTGTCCATCACACCATTCTCCTAATGATGTGATCCCGTTATCAATCACATCCAATGTCCATGGCCAGAAAACCATAACCATCTATTGATCAACGAGCTAGTCAACTAGAGGCTCACTAGGGACATGTTGTGGTCTATGTATTCACACATGTATTACGGTTTCCAGTTAATACAATTATAGCATGAACAATAGAAAATTATAATGAACAAGAAAATACAATAATAACAATTTTATTATTGCCTCTAGGGCATATTTCCAATAGTGGTAACCTTAGGATGCAAACCAAACAGGCCCCAAGTTTGCCGAGCGCCTCTTCCATCTGCGCCCGGGCCGAGCGCGGAGGGAGAGAGCCGCTTCCTTGTTTCCCTTTGCCCGCGCCTGATGTCGCCATCGTTGCCGGTATCACGCGAGCGGCCCGCCGATGGGATCAGCCGGCGCCGTCAGAGTCGCCTAACCCTAGTCGCCGCGAGGGGTTTTAGGGTTTCGGGAAAACTAGGAGTAAGGCGCTGCGTGTTTGGCCGGCCTACTTCTGCGATGCGTGTACCGCTTGCTATCGCCCTGACGGCTTTTCTTTCTTTCGGTTTTTCTTTTCAGATTTCTTTTTAGTTGGTTTCTCTCAGAAAAAATTCATCTGCAGTAGAAAGATTAGAAAAATATTCACAAAATTCTGAAAATGCCTAAAAATATAAAACAATCTCATATATAATTTACCGTAAAGTTTTTATGTTCGTGCTTTTAGGAAATGTTCGGTGTAAGGTTAAAAAATATATTTAAAAAACTCTCAAATTTAAAATTTACCCTAAATTTTAAATGTTCTTGCTTTTAGAAAGTCTAGTGTATTTTTAAAGATATTCCTAAAAACTTAAAAATGTACAAAATTTGAAAAATGTTTTTCATTTAGAAAATCAATTTTTAAAATGGATGCATCTAGCGGGCGGTCGTTAGTCTAATTGAGCGTCCGCTACATCTGGGAAGATCTCCTACCATCTCTCCCACATGCTCCAACCGTTGCCTTGAAAAAAAAACATGTTCCAACCGTTCCCTATGGCGTGAAATCCACCACCAACCGCAGTAGAAATTACCTAACACGAGGGGGGAAATCAATTAACTTAGTTTGAAAAAACTTTTGTAAACAAACTTTCAAACCACACGTTAGAAATCATGATCTGTTTTCATCGTTGGAAACCCGACGATGAGCTCTTTGAAACTAGATCCAATTTGTTTATGTTTTGATGAGCTTTTTCAAAACCAACTTTTATGCTGCTGCATCAAACTTTAGTGCTACAGGATTGTATAACTAACAATTTGACCACCTTCTAGGAATCTACTATACGACATGTGCTGTCATACAAACATACGTCACATTAACTGGGCAAGATGTTAATATTAATAAAAGTATTCAGATTCTACGTAGAATTTAGAACAGTTTCTCAGTAAAATGGTACACCTTCAGATGTTGCTGCAAATGACTTCAATCTCGGCTCAATCCCACAACAGAATCATAACTTTCATTCAGGATGCATGACCATTTTAGACCGAGCGGTCATCCGTAAGACTGGAACATTACAGTTTTTATTAGACTACAAAGGGACTGGAAACAGCAAAAAATTGTGATAATATAGATTCCCCCCCAGATCAGGTAGTACAGACAAACAACTCCTTGCCCTCCAATGCACTCTCTCTACGGAACGGAAGAACTAGTGTTTGTTTCTACATGACAAATTACACGGAAACAAGTAGAATCGACTGCAAGCGATGCAGAAGGTTACACAGTATTCTCAAATCTAATCGGATGGGTGTATCTAAAATGCAATAGATCTTGGATCCTCTGTTCACTGTAATGTTGCTGGCTGTCAGATCGACAGTTGCTTCCTGGAAGAGAACACATCGAAATAACTCAAGAGCTTCCTGAAAAAAAAACTTCACTGTTCTGGCCAAGATTTGTCGAGCATGTACCGCATTAAGGCTTGAATGGGGCGAATACGACCACCGAGTTGTGTCCTCCAAATCCAAAGGAATTCGAGATACCTGCAGGGTGATACCAAAACTAACATGAAAGAGAGGAAGGGGAAAGATAGAACAGTACGATAGCGCTACAAAGCAGAGGATTTGCTACTCACCAACATTGATTTCATGTTCGACCTTTACGTTGGGTACGGTGTCAAATTCAACCGCAGGCTCCCGGTCCTGCAGTTAACATATTGCAGCTCTTAGTTTTTCTAGCCATGCTGGCCTGCTAACTGAATTAGCTGTAATATTGTAAACAAAACTTACAAACTGGTTTATGCTTGGATGCACCAATCCAGTGTTTATCGCTTTAATAGTAGCAATGGCCTCCAAACCACCTGCTGCACCTAGGCAATGCCCTATCATGGACTGCACAAGGAGGGGAAGGCGGTCATATTAAGAAGGGACAATGAATCAATATCCTTCAAATAACAAAGGCAGGACAGTAAATTACCTTGGTTGCGTTTACTTTTATCCCAGATGGGTCCTTAAAGACTTGCTTGATGGCATTCATCTCTGCCAAATCACCAGCAAGGGTGGATGTTGCATGAGCATTGATGTAGTTAACCTGCAAATAATCATTTGCGATTTACTTCAATCAATGAAACTTCTTCAAAAGCATTTGCCAATCAAAACAAGAAATTTACAGTATGTGCCTGAATCAATATATGTTAAATAGACCATAACAATCAGAGGTATTGTAATTCTATAACAGCAACGCAGAAACCTTTCAAGCACAATATATACTGTGGAAAGATGACAGAAATAGGCATTAACAATTTACAATTACATGCCAGCCATGATGACTTTAATGTTATTGCATAAAAAGATTTCCAATCTGAATACAAAATGGACAAAATACACAACGCACAACTGGAAACAATAATTTGAAAGATCACGCATAACTGCCAAACTATGAAGGTAGCCAATATCATATTTGAGGGAACTAGCCAATATCATATGAAAAAAGAACAATTGCAGAAATAATGTCCTAAGGTTGAAATGTTTCGGTTACCTCCTCTGGTGCCACACCAGCATCTTGAAGACTTTGTCTGATGCAAGATGAAACACCAAGACCATCGGCTCTTGGATCAGTCATATGGTACGCATCACAGTTCACAGCACCTCCTAGATACTCCGCAACTATTGGAGCACCACGTTTCATTGCATGTTCTAAGCTCTCCATGACCTGTTTCAATTGACATAATTAAGGGACTAGAAGCACAATGAATAAAAATTTCATAAAAGAATCTATAGAACATCAAATGTTAAATCAAAACGTCAAAACTTCAGCATGCTCTCAATTGAAGTATTTAAGGTTGACTCGAGTAGCTAAACCCATGGAAAATTGCTATTTAATAGATTGCTGAAATAAAAAAATATCAGTTTCACTTGAGTAACCAAACACACATCACCATAAAAAAGTTCTAGTGAAGCTATGATACCTTAAAAGCTCAATATATAATCTGGACTAGAATAATGTCCGCAAAACATACAGATTCACTAAAAGATATTATTGAACAGATTCATTTAAATAAATAAATAGTTCAGTTTAAAGGCTCTAGGATACGATAAGGAAATTTCAGTAAAGATATGATATCAACCTAATTCTAAAATATATCTGGACCAGAATAATGTTCCTAAGGCATACCAGTACTCCAGCTCCTTCACCCATGACGAAACCATCACGCTCCTTGTCCCAAGGCCTAGATGCTGTTTTAGGGTCATCGTTCCTCTGTGATAGTGCTCTACATGCAACAAACCCACCAACACCAATCGGAATGATGGCGGCTTCAGTGCCACCAGCAATCATCACATCGGCTTCGCCTTTGCGAATATGGTTTGCTGCAGCGTAGAAACAGTAGTTCGAGGTAGCACATGCAGTTGAAATAGAGTAGTTTGGACCCATGAAGCCAATGTCCATGCCAAGCAGGGCAGATCCCATGTTTGTTATGGCATATGGGATGAAGAAAGGAGTTATCTTTCTGTAGCCCTTCTCGAGAAGATTCTGAACACCATCAGAAAACACTTGGAGGCCACCCATACCAGTCCCCACAAGTACACCAGCCCGGGCCTTGTCAATCTGTCAGAGACAGCATTTAGTACTTAGCAACAAACATTATTTTTCTCAAATATAACAGAATGGTGCAAACAAATGTAGCAGCGTAGGCAGTATTAAATAGAACAAATGAAGCTAGTATCAACCTTATGAAAAGCCAATACGTTTGGTATTACAAAATGGTATCTTGGCTTAGTCCTAGTGTGCATATTTGCCAAAAAAATGTGCAAGCGACATCAAATGACAAAACAGATTTATGCTAGTTAACAATCACTTACTTTCTAATTAGATATACACCAACTGAGTAAAGCAGAGGAAGTGACATTCTTAATAAAGAGTGTGTTGGCTCAAAATTGACTGTGATGCTACTACCCACACAGATCAATTTTTTACTTTTGCCAATCCAAATAGAGCTGTACCACTCCATCTGCCTACAACAAAGTCTAAAGAACGAAGTGACATCGCTAATATACTGGCACGAGTACTTATTGCTGATGTTAGATGTCACCTTCTAGAGAACACGCTCTTGACAACTTCCTTTAAGAGAGAACGCATCTTGATTTTTAAGACTGAATTCAACTACTGCCCTTTTAGGCTTTTACAGTGAGAAGAAAAGGTTATGGCCATTTACTCCCAAAGTGTAAAATAAATGCTTCCACCTCTGTTTTGCATATGAGATCATCACATTCAACTATGCCTACGAATCACAACCCGCAATGCCAAATTGTACTTCCTTAACTGTTCAAGTTCTACTCCCCTGGGATCATTACTCGCTACTTGCTCCAGCTGTTTCCTCTTGCCAAGATCAGATGGCACGTCACCATCACAATTCAAATTCCAACGTGTCCATTTCACTATCAGCTCATTCTTCTTGGATTTGCACTAGCACTCCTACAATCCTACTCACAGATTGCATCTCAGAAAAGGAAATGGGGAGAAAGCGGCCATCCGATCTACTTATCAAAGTTATTTTTGAACCACACGGGCACTTTCCAAGGACTAAAGCTACCAGGTGTACTGACTGAAAATCTGGTAGGAAAATGCTAGGCACTAGACTATCATTAATCTGCGCCTGATCTGGTCAGGTAGCAGCAGGGCGCAGCATTTGTTTGGATCGGAGCTGGGGTGAGTGAGAGTGTGATTGGTACCTTCCCCATGGCGTCGGAGCCGAGCGCGAGCCCGGCGGACTCGAGCGCCTTCTTGCCGCTGACGATGCAGTAGCGGAGGCAGTCGTCGAGGCGGCGGTCGTTCTTGCCGTCGATGTAGCCCTCGGAGGAGAAGCCCCGGATCTGGCCGGCGAAGCGCGTGGGGAACTTGGAGGCGTCGAAGCGGTCGATGGGGCCCACGCCGCTCTCCCCGGCGAGCAGGCGGTCGTAGTAGGCGTCGACGTCGTTGCCGAAGACGGAGACCAGCCCCATCCCCGTGATCACCACCCGCTTCTTCGGATCCGTCTCCCGCCGGGGCGGGGCCGCCGCGGCCGCCGCGGAGGCCGAGGCGCGGACGGAGACGCGGCCCGGCCGGGGGCGCGACGCCGACGACGGCGCCGCGCAGGCCGCGGCGGTGGGGACGAGGAGGCTCTGCATGGCTGCGGGCGGCGGCGGTGGGCGGGGTGGTGGCGATGGAAACGAGGCGGGGAGGGGGCAATGTCTCTGGACTGGTGTGGTGTGCTGGCTGCGGGGTGGGAATGGAGGCGAGAGCGCGTATGTATGTATGGAGGGTGGGGCTAGTGGGGCCCGCGGCCCTACCTGGGCACGGGGGCTTTGGAGGCGACGGAGAGGGGCGGTGGGTTCGGCAACAATAAATGGGCGGACTCCGCAATGCCGTTGCTCTCCCCGTTCTTCTTGTTTCCGGGCTTTTGTTGGTCCAAGGAAATGCTCCGTTTCAATCGAAAACTATACATGTGGCTTGAGCTGTTAGATTTTCCTAGACTAATCCAACGTCCGTCTGAGGAAATGGCAGTCTCTCGTATGAAATAAATGGAAGTGTTTTATGACAGAACGGGGCTGTTTGATTCTAGGCCTACGAGTGTCACCTTTTGCCATACAATGTTGTCAAATTTGTCTAAGAGCAACTCCAACGGGGCGACCCAAACGGACGCGCGATTTGTCCGCTTTTTGTCCCGTTTGGATCGACCTGACGTGCGTGTCCGCATTTTAAAATGGGTCGGCTTGACCGCCTAACGAGGAGGCCGACCCAAATGTGCCGCCTTGAAAAAAAAACAAGTTGCACGAAATAAACATAATTAAACATAAAGTGGCCGGTCAAACACCGGCCAAAGTCCACCTAAACCTAATAAACATTAAATAAAACATTAAAAAAAGTCTGCGCCCGCCTGCTGCCGCCCGGTACGCTGCCCTAGACGTCATCGGCCTTGCTCTTGCCCTTGCCGGCGTACGCGCCGTCGTCGGTGAGGTCGATGAAGACAGTAGCAGGGCCAGCCCACCCGAACGCCGCCTGGTACGCTGCCAGGGCAGCCTCCTCCGGTGTCTGCTGAGACGGCGGCATTGCGGCAAGCCGCGCGCGCTCCTCCTCCTCCTCCTCGACCCGGAGCGCCTCCGCGTCGCGTTGGAGCATGGTCTCGTAGCGCATCTGCTCCTCGCCGTCGGCCTGCTCCTGGCGGAGCCAGTGCTCCTTCCATCGTTCGAGGTGGGCCGCCTCCTCCCCCGGTGTCGCTGCGAAGTGGACGGGAGGCGCGCTCACCCACTCGCGGTACTGGCCCGTCCACGAGTAGGCCTCCTCCGGCCAAGTGGGTGGAGGCAGGGAGCGCTTACGCGACGGCTCCGGCTCCGGCTCCGGCTTGGGCTGCACGGGCGGCGACGGTGGAGGTGGCGGCACGAAGAGCGGGATGTGGACGGAGTCCCCCGCCGCCGACAGGGCAAGGGCTTGCTCCAGCCCATCCCAGTGCGCGTCTTACTCGATGCGGCTAGCCTTCATCGCGTGTTGCAGGGCCTCCTTGAGGGCGGCTTGGTACTCCGCCTCCGCCTCCATGTCCTTCGGCTCTACCTCCGGGGACGGTGGTGGGACGGCGCCGGGAGGGCGTCAACACCCGAGCACCGTTGCTTCTTGTGTTCGAGGGCGAACCAAGCCTCCCAGTTGGGAGAGTCGGCGGTGTACTCAGGCAGCCGACGCTGCTCCGGCGTGAGCTGCGCGCGGCGCCGGCGCACCTCGTCATCGTGCGCCCACTGGGTCCACGGAACCGCCGGCACCGGGATCCGCTGGGGATCCAAATGCCAATTGTGCGGCAGCGTCACGTCGGCGTAGGGGAGGGGCTGCATGTACTCCCAGTGCCACCGCGCTTGGTGCACCGGGATGTGCAGGCGCCGGCGTTCAGGGCGGAAACGCGCCGGCGGTGGAGGGGGGAGCACGGGATGACGAGGCGCGGGGGGTGCCCTTGCCCTTGCCCTTGCCATTGCTGCTGCCGAAGAGGCCCATGGACGCGCTAGGGTTTGCGGTCGCCGGCGAGGAAGCAAAGGGAGTGGTGGGGTGCCAGATGTGGACGAGAGAAGTGGATGAGGCCGACCCTGCCGCATGCGTGGTTAAAAAAGGACGCACGCATTAGCTGATGCATGGGCCCGCTGTCGGTGATTGTCATAAATAAGACGGCCGGTGGCGGTTGGGTGGACGCCAGGTGGGGACGCGGCGGACGGCGAGGAGACGCGGGGCGCGTCCGCGCCTACGCATTCCAGGCGCAATTTTGGGCCGGAAATGGGTCGGCGCGGACGCCAGGCGGACGCAATTTGAGTTTGGGTCGGCGTGTTGAGCCACCACTTTTGTCCGCGCCGACCCAAACGGACGCGGGCGGACGAAATGGGTCGCCCCATTGGAGTTGCTTTATGGTTGGTTTTTTAAAATGGTAGTCACAAGTTGGCAAGTCTAAAGGAACACTTAAATTTCACAAAATAAAGTTTACTATATTTCACAAAAGATATATCTTTGGATTCTTCATCTTCTAACCATAATATTTTCTATTACTTATACATGTTTTATTAGTCCAACTGAAAATCTAAAAACTCATGTACTTATAAACCCAACCAAAGAGACTCTGATCAGAGTCTATTTGGTTTGCCGAATTTCTAAAAACGTGAGAATAGAACAAACAAAGGAGTGAAATGCATCCAACGTAAGAGAGTAAAATTGTACATAAACAGAGCTTTCCCACACATCCATGCTTTTGGTAATTGGATTTTTCATTTGAATCATTTTTCAGCCATTGTGAAAGGATCAATATGGTTGACTAGAGGTGGGGTGAATAGGCAAATACGAATTTTTAGTTTATCTTAACAAATTAGGTTAACAACAAATAGTTTATCTAGATATGCAATTAGGTGAACAACCTACATGATGCTAGCAACAACAACAACAACAACAACACAAGTAAGCAAAGGATACACCACAAGTAAAGCTTGGTCAAAGTAAATGTGCATCAGTGTTAATTCTTTGAGAGTTTTGTTTGATTCTCTTAGGGTAGCCTTCAGGATACAAAGGTTCCTGAGTCATTCTACCACCTCTAGTCACAACTCTAACAACATGATCATTCAATTTATTATTCATCTCATTAAGCAAATCATTTTGTGCCTTGAGAACTTGTTCTACTTGAGTTTTGCCATGGAAGCATGTTTACTAGCAATCTTGAGATCATTAACAGTTCTAAACATATAATCACTCAAGTGTTCAAGCATATAAGCATTTTGTTTCAATTGTCTACTAACATATGAATTGAAGTTTTCTTGTTTAACAATAAAGTTATCAAATTCGTCCAAACATTGACTAGCAGATTTATTATAAGACCATGTGTCAGGATATTAAGACCATGTATTTCCTCCATAGGTGGTAATTTTTAATATCTTCAGCTTTAATACATTTTTTTATAGATTTCTTTGCCTCTTGCATATCTTCAGAACTGAATTATAATACCTCTCTTCTTCAGAATTGGCTTAGGAGGTAGTTCAGAAAGAGTCTAATCATTATCATTACTCAATATATTATTCAATAGTATTTTAACTTTTTCAACAGTCTGTTCCCTGAAAATACAACCAACACAACTATTTAGGTGGTCTCTAGAAGTGTCGGTTAGTCCATTATAAAATATATTAAGTATTTCATTTTTCTTGAGATGATGATCAGGCAAAGCATTAAGTAATTGGAGAAGCCTCCCTCAAGCTTGTGGGAGACTCTCTCCTTCAATTTGCACAAAGTTAAATATTTTCTGTAAGGCAGCTTGTTTCTTATGAGCAGGAAAATATTTTTTAGAGAAGTAATATATCATATCCTAGGGACTACGCACACGACCAGCAAAAAGAGAACTAAACCATATCTTAGCATCACCCTTTAATGAGAAAGAAAACAACTTAAGAATATAGTAGTAGCAAATTATTTTTCTCATGAGCAAATAAGGTGGCTATATCATGCAGTTTAGCAAGATGTGCCACAATAGTTTCAGATTCATAGTCATGGAAAGGATCGGATTCAACCAAAATAATTAACTCAGGATCGACAGAGAATTCATAATCCTTATCAGTAACAAAGATATGTGAAATATCAAACTTAGGATTGTATTGCATTCTAGCATTCGAAGATTTTAATTTCCACTTGCATAATAATTTCTTAAGATCATCTATATCCTTACAAGCAGGGAAGTCCCTAGCTACCTCTCCATCCATAACATAACCCTCAGGTATATCAGACAATTCATATCTAGGAGGAGAATCATAATCTTCGGTTTCAATAATTTCATCAATTTCAATAATTTCATTTTCTTTAGCTCTAGCAAGTTATTCATAAAGAAATTCTCCTAGTGGTACAGTATTATCAAGCAAAGTACTAGCATCATCATAAGTATCATTCATAGAAAAATAAGCATCATCAATTACTTGTGACATATCAGGATTAATTGTAGGCAGCGGTGTCGCAAGCTTACTCAAAATAGAAGGTGGATCAATTGTAGAGCTAGGTGGCAGTTCCTTACCTCCCCTCGTAGTAGAGGGAAAATCTTGGTTCTGGTATTATTCAGATTCCTCATAGTGATCAACAGATATAAAACCCAAGTGACTCAGCAAATAGAGCTATGCTCCCAAACAACCGCGTCAGAAAAAGGTCTTGCTAACCCACAAGTATAAGGGATCGCAACAGTTTTCAAGGGTAGATTATTCAACTCAAATCTATTGATTTGACACAAGGGGAGCCAAAGAATATTCGCGAGTATTGGCAGTTGAGTTATCAATTCAACCACACCTGAAAGACTTAATATATGCAGAGTATTTAGTAGCAAAGTAGTATGATAGTAACGGTAGTAGTAACAGTTTTGTAGTGATTGTAACAGCAGTAGCAACGAGAGTAACTCAACAAAGATCAATATGTCAAAAGCTTGTAGGCACTAGATCAGCGATGGATAATTATGTCGGATGGCATTCATCATGCAACAGTTATAACCTAGGGCGACACAGAACTAGTTTCAATTCGTCAATAAAATGTAGGCATGTATTTTGTATATAGACATACTTGCTTATGGAAAAGAACTTGCATGATATCTTTTGTCCTACCCTCCCATGGCAGCGGGGTCCTAATGGAAACTAAGGGATATTAA